ATAATAATAATAATAATAATAATAATAATAATAATAAAAATAATAATAATAATAATAATAATAATAATAATAATTGTTGTAGGAAATCAAGAGAATCAAAAAAGCGCATCTCGCACGTAATGCGCTCTTGTACTTTTTGCAATTTCGCTTTGAGAGTAGTCGCGTTTAAGATCGCAGCATGGTCGGATGGCCAATCGGTGGTTTTGTTGGAAATTAGTTATTAATAATCGTTTAATAAATAATAAAATTGTGCTGTGCGACCCACCACCTCCAACAAAGTCATATAAATTATAGTAAAGATACAAAATAATTTAGATTAACTTTTTCAGAATTGTATAATATAAATAATGTCTTGTAAACTATAAATTGTTATTAGCTTGTGTAATAAAATTTTTGAATATAATAAAAATTATTGAATATAATTGAATATAATTAAAATTGTAAAAATTATCATACAAAATAAACAAACTATACTCCAACATTTTTTGGCGACCGTGACAGGACAGGCGGCATCGAGAGCTGTCTTAATGGTTTATTTGGTTGAAAAAGCGGCACTTTGAACAGTTCGCTATTCGGACTTTGTACCCAAGCACATGTGCATTTGAGTGAAATTCGTATTCAGCGGTTTTTAAACACACTCGACTCAATTGCGTGCATATCATCACACTCTTTTGGAAATTAATTATACTTATTGTTTTACTTGCAATAATGACTCGTCGAAGAAATGACTCAGTAACTGAGCAACTCTCTTCACTAAAACAAGAGCGAACATCAGTGGAACGAAACATGCTAAGCATAAAGGCGAAGGTAGAGAAGGAATTAGCGTTTGTGGATGTTAACATTTTAGAATGTCGACTGCAAATTTTGGAATCGTATTTTACAGAAGTTTGTCAAATACAAAGTAAAATTGAACGAGCATGTCCGGATGATGATAGGCGTAGCAAATTAGAGGACATATATGTCAGCATAAAATCACTTATTGTGTCCACAATCAACAATCAAAAAATAAAGCCGATACATGAATCAAGTGTATTGAATTCGTCGATTTTAAACAACTCCTCACATCATAGTCGTTTACCAGCATTGAAATTTGATTTGATGGTAAATACAGCGAATATAAACGATTTTCTCTGCGTTTACAAATTTAATTCACAACGACCCGTCGATAACAACAATTGATAAATTTAATTATCTTTTAAGTTGTCTTTCGGGTGCGGCGTTGAGCGTATTACAACCATTTCAAATAACCGAGAAAAATTATACAAAGGCTCTAACGCAATTACAATTGAGATATGACAAAAAGGTCTTAATTTTTATGGAACATATTAATTCTCTTTTTTTTATTAAAGATATGACGAAGGGCGACTCAATCACACTCAGGCATATTGTAGATACAGTGTCTGCTTTATTCGGTTCACTTCTATCGTTGGGTTCGGAAGCAGACATTCTGAACGCCATAATTATTCATTTAGTGTTGTCTAAAGTGGATAACGAAACTAAAATTTTTTATGATTCTCAGCAAGATTTTGAGTCATTGCCATCTTGGGAAAGTTGCTACACACTTTTGAGTCGAAGATGTCAATTTCTGGAAAGCAATTCGAAAAGATGCAATAATGATAAAGTAAATGATACCAAAAATAATTCTTTTAACAGAAAATTGACCACATTTGTTAACACCAAAATCAATTGTATGAAGTGTAATGGAGGAGACCACAGCCTAGGATCATGTCCATCGTTTGTAAAACTGACTTTTAACGACAAATTCAAATTCGTAAAAGATCTTTCTGTTTGCTTAAATTGTCTACGCAAAGGGCACGTCGTTAAAAATTGTCAATCCACAGCTCGCTGTCGAATATGCAATGGTATGCATCATACGTGTTTGCATAAATTCAAACCCATCGAGCAAAATGTGAGACCAAATTTGTCAGACAATCCACCTGGACAACTAAATTTTCCGCAATCTCCATCAATTTCTCTAGTATCGCGTACTAAACAACGATCATTGATTCCCACAGCTGTAGTACTTATTAAGGATAAGTACGGTTTATACCAACCTATACGAGCATTACTGGACTCTTGTTCAGAGATAAGTTTTATCACTGAAAAGATGGCAAAGCAACTTCAATTACCATTTTAGCGAATAAACCAGGAAGTGTCAGGCATTGGTGATGTTAGAACACAAATTCGCCATTCAATAACTGCAACTATAAAATCTCGAATATCAAAATTTGAATGGTCATCGCAATTCGCTGTCACTAAACGTATCTCATTGAACCATCCAGAGCAGTTGATAGACACAACATCGTGGAATTTTCCTGAAGGCCTTGTTTTAGCTGATCCATTATTTTTTAAACCACAACACATTGACTTATTAATAAGTACGCAGGGATTTTTTGAATTAATATTAGATGGGAAAATTTCGTTAGGCACCAGCCTTCCATGTTTATTAAATACCGAATTAGGGTGGATCATCGGAGGACAATATATAAATACGCCTACTGTCCGGGCACTCATTTGTAACTACATTCAGTCGTCTAATATAGATTCAATGTTACAAAAATTTTGGAAAATTGAAGAATTAGAAAGCGATCAAAAAATTAATTACTCTAAGGAGGAGTTGGATTGTGAGAAACATTTTGTAGAAAATACCACAATTATAAGCAATGGTCAAATACAAGTTCGATTACCATTTAAAGAGTCCCCAGAAGTCTTAGGTGAATCATTTGAAATGGCGAAACGAAGATTCCTTTCACTTGAGCGTCGATTAGAGCGTCAGCAGACTCTCAAAGAGGATTATGTTAAGTTCATGCAAGAATATTTGATGTTAGGTCATATGAGTCGTGTCGACAACTTTGACAATATCACACCGCACTATATAATACCTCATCATTGCATATTGCGGCCTCAAAGTACCATAACAAAATTGCGCGTCGTATTTGATGCATCTGCACGCACATCATCGGGTCGATCACTTAATGAAATCTTAATGGTGGGACCTACAATTCAGCAGGATCTTATTTTGACATTATTGACATTTCGTTTACATCGCTATGCACTGACTGCGGATATATCAAAAATGTATCGACAGTTTGTAGTTGATCCAAGAGATCGTAATTTTCAATTAGTTATTTGGAGAAATACTGTTAATGAACCTCTGCAACTTTTTCAGCTCAACACAGTAACTTACGGAATGTCAGCAGCACCATTTCTGGCCATCAGAAGCCTGACTTACCTTGCAAATGCGTATCAAAAGGAGATGCCAATTGGAGCTTCAGTTTTGAGCAATGACTTGTATGTTGATGACTTGCTAACGGGAGCAGACACAGTTGAAGAGCTTTGCATCAAAGTATCACAAGTGAATAAAATAGCAGCAAATGCAGGATTACAATTGGCAAAATGGAGCTCCAACCACAAAAATTGGGTAAACTCAAGTGACGAACACCAAATTCTTTTAAACGAAGATGATATTACCAAAACTCTCGGTTTGGCGTGGAGGCCATTAGATGACGTTTTTTGCTTTCAATATAAGCAACAAGAGTCAAAGGCTGCGACCAAACGTACTATTTTATCAGTTGTTGCTCGAATTTTTGATCTTTTAGGACTATTGAGTCCTATTGTTATACGGTGTAAAATCTTAATACAGGAATTATGGATTCATCAACTGGGTTGGGATGATCCATTGCCTCCACTTCTAAACCAATCATGGATACAAATTCAATCTGATTTGGAATATCTTAACCACATTGAAGTGCCAAGATATGTTTTAACATCATCAGCTTGCTACAGTCAGGTACACGGATTTGCCGATGCTTCTCAACGAGCATTCGGATGTTGTATATATATTCGGTCAAAGCATAATGGCTTTTACAAATCTTCGTTGTTGATATCGAAATCAAAGGTGGCGCCGATAAAAGCAGTATCGCTGCCTCGTTTAGAATTATGCGCTGCCGTACTTCTTTGTAAAACTTGGAACAAAATAAAACCCAAAGTATTACCATTTATTAATGAAATCTTTTTTTGGACAGATTCTAAAATTGTGTTACATTGGATGAAGATGCATTCGTCAACTTTAAATTGTTTCGTAGCTAACCGTGTTTCTGAACTGCAGGACTATTCGCGTGGCATTATGTGGAGTCACGTCCCAAGTAAGCAAAACCCAGCTGATATAGTATCTCGAGGCTGTCGAGCAAGCGAGCTGAAGGATTCGATTTGGTTTTGTGGACCAAAGTTTTTGTCGCTTCAATCAGCAGAATGGCCAAAAGAAACATCAAAAACTGAATTTCTCGCAAAGGACCTTGAACAACGAAAACCTACAGTCTTGAAATGTAGCAACAATGGTATCGATGAACATATATTCAATAAAATTATTGACGATTTTTCCTCATTTCGTCGTATTGTTCGAATTATATCATATATCTTTCGAGTCTTTAACAAAGTACCAATAAACAAAAATCAAACCGTAAACGACGTGAGTCCAATTACAGTGCGTGAATTTCAAGAATCATTTTGGCGTATTATATCCCACCTTCAACATTGTACATATCGCAGTGTAATATTATCACTTCAATCGGGTAAAATCTTGAATCCAGACTTGCAAAAACTAAACCTCTTTTTGGATAAAACGGTCACTACAAGCGGAACATTTAATATAATTCGAGTAGGAGGACGATTGACCAATGCACCAATAGGCTTTGATGCAAAATTTCCAGCTTTATTGCCACGTGATCATCGGTTTGCTCAAATTTTTGTGGAATACTTACATCGTAAACACATGCACGTTGGTCCTAAGGTTTTAATTAGTCTAATACGCTCTCAAGTATGGATAATTAATGCTCGGGAAGTAGCTCGAAAGGTAGTGCGTAACTGCGTTCACTGTTTCCACTATAAACCGAAGCTGTTACAACAAATCATGGGTTCGCTGCCAGCTGATCGATTAGTTGCAAACCGACCATTTCTAATATCAGGAGTTGATTTATGTGGACCATTTTATACCACATATCGTATTCGTAGTAAAGTTCCATATAAAACTTATATTGCAATTTTTGTCTGCTTTTCATCAAAAGCAGTTCACACTGAATTAATATCAGATTTATCCACTAATAATTTCATTCTAGGCCTAAAAAGATTCATATCACGTCGTGGACTGCCGCAGCGCATTTATTGTGACAATGCAACAAATTTCACTGGCGCGCAGACACTACTAAATAAATTTAAAGAACAATTTTTCAGTCAGCAAGGGCTTAGAGAAATGCAAGAGTACAGCAACAATACTGGATTTGAGTTTAAGTTCATTCCGCCAAGAGCACCTCATTTTGGTGGACTTTGGGAGGCGTCGGTGAAATCTCTCAAAACATTATTATTAAAAAATTTGGCACAATCTAGCCTAACTTACGAAGAATTACAAACCGTGATTATTGAAGCTGAAGCGATTTTAAATTCCCGGCCAATAATTCCATTATCAGACGATCCGAACGATGGTGAGGCTTTAACGCCTGCACACTTATTAATAGGCTCTTCGTTAATTACAATTCCTGAAAGGAATTATACAATAAGCAACATATCATATTTATCTCGTTGGCAACGTGTTACGTATTTAAAACAGCAATTTTGGGAAATGTGGCGGCGTGACTATTTACACACTTTGCAGCTTAGATCTAAATGGCTTAAACCTGAAGCTAATATCACTGTTGGTCGTTTGGTAATTATTCACAATGACAATCTTCCTCCACAACACTGGCAACTGGGCAGGATTGTGAAAACTATAACAGGTAAAGATGGAAGAATTCGCGTAGTAGATATTCGCACTAACCAGGGTGTGCTTCGGCGGCCTATCCACAAAATTGCACCACTCCCTATCGATTAAACGTTTTGAAAGGGTCCTTTCAACGGGCGGAGCATGTTGTAGGAAATCAAGAGAATCAAAAAAGCGCATCTCGCACGTAATGCGCTCTTGTACTTTTTGCAATTTCGCTTTGAGAGTAGTCGCGTTTAAGATCGCAGCATGGTCGGATGGCCAATCGGTGGTTTTGTTGGAAATTAGTTATTAATAATCGTTTAATAAATAATAAAATTGTGCTGTGCGACCCACCACCTCCAACAAAGTCATATAAATTATAGTAAAGATACAAAATAATTTAGATTAACTTTTTCAGAATTGTATAATATAAATAATGTCTTGTAAACTATAAATTGTTATTAGCTTGTGTAATAAAATTTTTGAATATAATAAAAATTATTGAATATAATTGAATATAATTAAAATTGTAAAAATTATCATACAAAATAAACAAACTATACTCCAACAGTTATGTTATTAAATATTTTGTTCAGTTAAATAAAGTAAATTAAAGTCATTTAAATAAAGTCTATTAAAGTTATGTACTTAACTCAAAAACCAAATTTAAAGTTCAGAAGTGGGATAGAATCAATGCCCTAAAGGAGAGTAATTAAAACGTAAGTTTGAATATTTGGCGCAGAAAAATAAAAAAAAAAAAACGAACGCAGATATATACGTAATGATGGTGACCATCGAGTCACTGACGAAGGAACAGTTGAAGAACTTCTTACAACAACAAGAGTTATCACCTACAGGCAATAAGGCGGAATTAGTTGCAGGATTAACTGAACACGTGAAGTCAAGCGGCGTAGTTTTGCAATTTACAAACAATAATGAGGAATTGCGGGGTAAAAACGAAGAATTGAGAAAACAAATTAGCGAACTGCGGCAAATGGTTCAACAAGTAGCCAAGATAATAACGTTAGAAGTAACCAGAATAACGTTAAAAACAATCAAAACAGTACTTCAGAAATGCCTAGTAAGGACCGTAACGCGCATTCTATACGAGAAATCGCAGAAGTCTTGCCCGAATTCGACCCAACGAATGAAGATTCTATTACGGCTACGCAATTTGTCGAACGTGTTGAAGCTGTTATGTCTGTATATGTTAATGATAAATAAGCGGCAGCAACAACAATGCCAAACACGCGCAAATTATAATTTGCTGACAGTGCGTCTACTACAGCGTGAGAACGCTACATTCAACATTCACGTGGCAGTGCAACGCGATCACCCAAAAATTTCAGCTACAAACCAACATTTCAAAATTATTAATAGCATAGCTACGTAAACAAAGTAATTAAATTTTATTTTTTTTTATAAAAGAAATAGACAAAGAACAAATTGGCGCCCAACGTAGTAAATTTGTTGAACAAATTAATAAAAAAATTATCCAATATAAAAGTGGAAATAATTTTGTTGAACAAATTAATAAAAAAATTATCCAATATAAAAGTGGAAATAATTTTGTTGAACAAATTAATAAAAAAATTATCCAATATAAAAGTGGAAATAATTTTGTTTTACAAATTAATAAAAAAATTATCCAATATAAAAGTGGAAATAATTTTGTTAAATAAATTAATAAAAAATTATCCAATATAAAAGTGGAAATAATTTTGTTAAACAAATTAATAAAAAATTATTCAGTATAAAAGTGGAAATAATTTTGTTGAACAAATTAATAAAAAAATTATCCAATATAAAAGTGGAAATAATTTTGTTTTACAAATTAATAAAAAAATTATCCAATATAAAAGTGGAAATAATTTTGTTAAATAAATTAATAAAAAATTATCCAATATAAAAGTGGAAATAATTTTGTTAAACAAATTAATAAAAAATTATTCAGTATAAAAGTGAAAATAACTTTGTGGAAACAATAAGTGGATTTAAAAATATAAAAAAATTCGATATAATCGAACATATTCAGAAAAGTCCAACGAAATTCTAAATTGAAAATAACTTTGTGGAAACAATAAGTGGATTTAAAAATATAAAAAATTCGATATAATCGAACATATTCAGAAAAGTCCAATGAAATTCTAAATTGAAAATAACTTTGTGGAAACAATAAGTGGATTTAAAAATATAAAAAAATTCGATATAATCGAACATATTCAGAAAAGTCCAACGAAATTCTAAATTGAAAATAACTTTGTGGAAACAATAAGTGGATTTAAAAATAAAAAAAATTCGATATAATCGATCATATTCAGAAAATCCCAATAAAATTTCTCAAAATATTAAAACTCCAGTGTACATGTGAAGAAAGAGGCTCCTAAGTAGCTTAATTGCAAAAAGGGGATACATGTAGTATCAGCCGCTTCATCACACTAAGAAACATAAAGTGAATTAAAATAATTTAAAATAAAGAAATTTAAAGTGAATTGAAGTAATATATTAAAATTTTAAATAATAAAATAGTAAACAAACAATTTAAAATAATTTAAAATAAAGAAATTTTAAGTTAATTGAAGTAATATATTAAAATTTTAAATAATAAAATAGTAAACAAGCAATTTAAAATAATTTAAAATAAAGAAATTTAAAGTGAATTAAAATAATATATTAAAATTTTTAAAAATTTTTTAGAAAAATAAAATAGTAAACAAACAATTTGTAACAATTTAAAATAAAGAACTTTAAAGTGAATTAAAGTAAAATATTAAAACTTTTAAATAGTAAGCAAACAATTTACAATAATTTATAAAAAAAATACAGATAACAAAGAGAGGCGAAAATCGGAACGTTGCAGTATCTAAATCATTTGGAGCTGAAAAAATAATGAAAGCAATTGGAATATTGTAAGATTCAGTATATTACTTCTAATATAAATATATTAAACTCAATTGTTATTATAATATTATTATTACATTAATTTATATTGTACTAAATATTATCCTGATTATAAATATATTAAACTCAATTGTTGTTATAATATTATTATTATACTAATTTATATTGTACTAAATATCATCCTGATTAAAATAAATCAAAATGAATCCGAATATTATTAGGCCACCTGTATTAAATCAACCTCCCAATAACAGCCCGAATAACAATAATAACAACAGCAATAATGCTTTAAATCCAAATCCAAACCAAAATCATCCATCAGTTCATGCAACGCCAGAATTAGAGGCCCTAATTACTAGCATTGTACGTAGGGTATACATCAATGAATGTAGGGACACGGTAGAAGCTATGGTAAATCCGAGTAGTGATTTAGTAGCAATAGATCAGGGTATAGATGAAAGTCATATGGAAAACCTGAATGAGCTAGACAAAATACCGGACGTTGTCCGTTGTCTTAGGGAATTCAGTGGAAATCCAACTGAGTACAGCTCTTGGAGAAAAAGTGTTGAAAGAGTTTTAAATCTTTATGAAGCACAAAAAGGTACTCCAAAATATTTTGGAATTCTCAGTGTAGTTAGAAACAAAATCGTAGGGAATGCTGACAACATCTTAGAGTCATACAATACTCCATTGAATTGGGATAGTATAATTAAATGTCTCAATTTGCATTATGCTGACAAATGACAGATGACAGCAATGGTGCAGGGAAATAAAACTATCAATGAGTTTTATCAAGATGTCTACTCACATCTCTCGCTAATTACAAACAAAATTTCGTGTATGGAAATGGCTAGAGAATCCATGCAAATGCTAACAAAAACATATAGAAGTAAAGCTTTGGATACTTTTGTAAGGGGACTCAAAGGAGATTTGCCCAGACTCTTAGGAATTCGCGAACCAGAGGACCTTCCACAAGCGCTTCACTTATGTCTTAAATTGGAAAATCAACAATACAGAGCAAACTTTTCGAATTATACACACAACAATCTGTATGAAAGAAAACCAGCAATTCCACCTCGGAAAACTTACCCTAACCCTAATCCCCCACCACCTCAACAATTTCACCCACAATTAGCGTATTTACCTCAAGTAAAACCAATAAATTACCAGCAACAACCCAACAATAGGAATAAATTTCAAAACATTCCGCGCTATAACAATTACCAAAGTGTACCACCACCATGACCATTCGGTCCGAAACCACTTCCGCCACCAGTACCCATGGAAGTAGACGAAACACTAAGATCAAAAGCGGTAAACTACATGAATAATCCAGCGTACAATAATCGATACGTAGGAAAACGACCACAGCCTGCATCTTTTCAGGCTGCACCACCACGTAAATTTCAAAGAAATTTTCATATTGACACATATGACAATTGTAATGAAGAAGCCTTACAAAAGGAGGACTGCGAGTACCAGCAATCTTTGGACGAATACTACGCAGAAGGTGAATCATGTGAAATACCTGAAGAGTGCACTGATCTTACGGATGTTCATTTTTTAGAATGAGCAGCTCGTCTTTGCCATATTTTGAGTGCAAGGCGAGCGATAATAAGGTTCTTAGATTTTTAATTGACACTGGGTCAAACAAAAATTATATCCAACCCTCTCTCATAAAAAATCCCCTACCCAATAAAAATATATTTTTTGCTAATTCAGTAGGTGGAAAAACTGAGATTACCCACCATGCGCACATAAATTTATTTAATATAAAAACCATAAAGGTTAAAGTATTTTTACTGCCAACCCTTACATCTTTTCACGGAATTTTGGGTAATGACAGTTTAAAAGAATTTTCAGCTGTGATTCATACACGGCAAAATTTTATGCTAATAAATGATATTATAAAAGTTGCAATCAAACAACAGCCTTCTCAGGATGTTAATGCAATTAATATCCGAACAGATCATCTAACTCAAAAACAAAGACAGAAAGTCAGTCAATTAGTAAGAAGTTATCCCGATCTGTTTACCGAACCAAATGAGAAATTAACTTATACTACTGCGGTAAAAGGTGAGATAAGAACAACAACGAATGATCCCGTTTACTCCAGATACTATGCATATCCAGTAACACTTAAAGATGAAGTTGAAAAACAGATTAAAGAGTTATTAGATCATGGCATAATTAGACCTTCACGGTCACCCTATAATTCTCCTGTTTGG